TCCCGAGTCAAAAAATTGGGACTCATTTTGTCCTCATTTGATCTCAATAGAATTTTTAGGGATATTTCAAACTACAAGACTCAAAAGTCTCATTTTATCCGCGGTTTTCCCGTATCAGGACAAAATGAGACTTTTGAGGAGTAAAGATTATTTAGGAAACCTCATTTTGTCTTCAAAAAGTCTCATTCTTTTCTTGTTGAGGTTAAATTGAGGACTATTGCCATAGGATTGCAGACATTGAGAATAAAATGAGACTTTTTAGAATCCAATGTGATGAGTCTTATGAAAACTTATTGAGGTATCTGAGATTAAAAACGTCTAAATGAGGAAAAAATGAGTCTAAATAGTTCATTTGAGGATAAAATGAGTCCCAATTTTTCGACTCGGGTTATTAGTCTGATGAAGCATCTTCTATTAGATATTCAACTTCATCCTCTGAAATAGACTTTCAAGTAAGTCATGTGGGCATTACGATATTTATTGATCACCGATGTAATTCCTACTTCCAGAAAATCATCTAGGGACCTCATTACCCTCGACAGATCTCCCGTAGGGCATATTGTATTAACTTCATAAATTCTCTCACTAACACAGATACAAACGGCAAAAAATACAAGTATATGTACTATATCTACACAGATCCCAAGGAAATTGACTGATGAAAGAAAATTTCACAACTACAAATAATAATTGACCAACAGAATCTTATTAAATCATTAAATACTAGTCGTGACCCGTTCAAATTGCGCCAAAACCATTACTACCGTAACCCAAACCATCTGCAGCACTTAATTATTGACATTTTTCAATAATATTGTGATGTATAGGTACTTTAATGTGTGTGTATGTATATGCAAGTAACTGTGCACGTTAAAAAATGTCATGGTAATTCATAACAAAATAACGCATCATTAAAATGTATGCAACCAAATGTACAGCCGAATAGAGACATTTAGACTCGCTTAATTTTTCCAATTGTTTTCTTCTATCTCGAGTACATCAAAATTTCTTATTTTTAATTAAAGATTCTGAGCAGACGTATTTTGAAGGTAGGCTTGAGACATAGTAACTATACGCAGCTAAAACGCAGCTTTAGTAAAACTTGGTAAAACCTTAGTCGTTTTAATTTTAAATGGACTACTTTTAAGATATTTCATGCATCTTACCATTCTTCTATAATTTTTAACTGATTTTAACTACAATAAAGGGTAAAAGTGTTATGTTATTTAATTACAAAAATGTGGTATGTCGTAAAGAAAAGTACATTGAAAAATCTAAGTAAATATTACAAAAAGCTTTTAGCTCCAATAATACGCCACACCCGATCCTAAGATAGCACCACCTAAGGCTCCTAGTGCTGTTCCCAAAACAGGAACAACACTTCCAACTGCAGCTCCTACAGCAGCTCCACCGGCTGCTCCACCAGCTAAATATTTGCCGTAACCTTTTCCATCATTTCCTGTCGCTGAAACGATTTGGTTATTAGTTCCACCATCAAAATTACTACTTTGTTGGTATCGGCAGGGATTTTGTTTTCTTAAATTTGTAAAGGTATTCATTTCAGAGGACAAAATTGCCATTTTGTCCACGTCATTATACGGTTGCTGCAATCCATCATAATGGAGAACAGCAGCATTTACCGATCCTAAAAGTTGATATCATTTAAATAGTATGAGTAGTTACAAAAGTTTCTTCTTTAGAGTAACTACATTAGGTATACCTATTAAGAAAACAGTAATCATCATCAGACTCCATCGAGCATTTCTTTTCTTATTCTTCATCGTATACTAATATTTCTATAAATAAAATAATTTTAACATTCAAAAATGTCTATTTTTGAGGATAATTACAATAATACAATATTAACTCAAGTCGAAAACAGCAATGCTGTTAAAGTAAATATATTCAAAAACTTTACACAAAATGTTACAAAAACTTTAGGAACAACATCTCAAAATTTCATGTAATTGTTGTCATTTCAAGAATTTATGGTGGACCTAGAGATTTTAAAGTAGAAAAATTACTCTAATACAAATTTATCATTCGAGACCAGCGATCTTAGATTAATTCAGAAATTAGTATAAGGGACGCATCTTCGATACCATGGTTATTTTTCCTCCAGTTGACCAATGTTTATTTAGTTATATTGTATCTAATTTTTGACCGATTTTACTGATTAAGAAGTTGATTCCTGTAGATTAAGGATAATAACGAATTTTTCCAATACCAGATTAAATTGATATTTTTTAAGGAGAAATATTGGAAATAGGTAGCAAAATTATATTAGGATTCAGCATGATCGAATTACCAGACCCAAGGCTTGGGCATATGTTTAAAATTACAGTTAAAACTTTTCGCTACAAGTTAAGTTAGGCCCCTCGAGATGAAACTAAACCATGGACTAAAAAAATGTCCCGTTAAAATACATCTCAGCTCATTTAGAAGAATATAAGAGTGATTTTTCATCTTCGAAGGACTTGACTTCTCTGAAGGTGCACTAATTGTAAGGAAAAAAAATTTTTTGAAAATTAAAAGGGGTTCTAAAGTTTATATAAGGAAGAATCCGAACCGGTGAACCTAGATAAGATATTTAATATTTGGAAGAAATATTACTGGAGAAGTCTAAGGGATGCACTAAGGAAGAATTTTAAATATCCTTTCCCAAAAAGGATAAAGAGGAGGGTTGTAGTTTGTATAAAAATAATTAAACGTGTTTTTTTTTAACCAGTCTATAAGCTGAATTAATACTTAAATCAGAGATCGGAAATTTATATCGATCGATGTCAGGGAAGTACCTACTAAAAAGGCGTTTTAATGACTAATAATTCTAAAAGCTTAATCAACCTAAATGACAGTAGCTACCATTATTTACCTTTACAGTAACTATTAGAGATATACTTCGTCCAAATTTCAAATCTCTAGGTACATTAGCTTAAATGCGTTGTCTATTAATTAGTCAATATAAATTTACAACATCTAAAAATTCACATGGTAATAATACAATTTAAATAACAATGTTAAGTACTTACAGTTCTGTCAAAAATTATATTATTATTAAAAAATTATAAACTTTTTGTTCACTGGTACATGTTTGTAACAACTAGTTCGGTCTAATAATTACTGGTATGTATAATGTTAAATGCCCCCTCCATCATTAGGAAGTTCTTTCGAAATAAGATAATCTGTTCATCAAACCCACCATAAACAATTATTATTATTTCGAATTTAGGTACTATAAAAAATTAAAACATTAAGTATCTTTTGCGTAGAATACCAACCATGTTACATTTTTTAAAATCAATTCGTAGTAGGTAATAAAATGTCAAGGTCTGTTTTTAATTTCAGCGGAAACTGCATTTCCTACGAGTTGTCATACAATGTGAAAAAAATAGGAATACAGTGGATTTCGGATATAACGACAACGAAGGGACCACTGTAATTTCGTCGTTATATCCAGAAGTCGTTACCGACAAAATTAAAGGAGATACACACTCTGTTTTTCAATTTTGAAACAATTTTCGCCTTTTTTTAACAGCAAATGTACATTTGAAAGTCACATTTATTCAAAAGTTTATTAAACAAAGTTGCTACTCAGAAACAACAGTAAAGGTCACCATCAGGGGCGGCCTTAGTCATTGGAAGGTTCCGGGCGGGTAAATTTTTGCGAGGCCCTCGTCTTTGTGGAATTCACTTTAATGCTGATACTGTTGCAAAGTGATTCATAAATAAGTTTACAGTTTTAAAATTGTTTATCGAAAATTAAAAAAAATTGATAAAGACAAAGATAGCAAATTTCTTTTAAGACTATTAAGAAATTCAAATAAACATTAGTAGTATGTACTATTACTACCTAATAGTTTTCTAATTAGATTGTTGTGCGAATGTACGAGGCCCCTGCAAGAGCGAGGCCCCGGGCGGTTGCCCTGTTCGCCACCCCCAAAGGCCGCCCCTGCATACATATTAAATAAAAGTATGCTAATTTAGAAAAACAAGGTGATAACGCGCGGTAAGAACTTCGATCCAAAAGCTTTTGCTAATTCATTTAATAAATGAAACTGAAACAGAAGTGTTACATTTGCTATTAGTTTCAACAACAATCAGACTTAAAATTTTCTGACAACTTCTCGTACGTCCACACTCACTCGCTTGTTTCAAAATGGGCCTATAACATGTATTATAGTGGAAGGACGAAACCTGTTTCGCTCTGCTGCTGCTGAGCTGTTCTTGTTGTTCATCATCGTCAACGTGGCGACTCAAGAGCAGATGTCTTCGGCTTGTAGACAAGTGTTTGTCTTTGCTTTTGAAACATGATACGCCTTTTAAAACCCAAGAACGGCGTTAAATGGGTTACGCACACTATTATCCTGCCACTTCTTATACTTACTCTTGAAATACTCAAATAAAATGAAACGATAGGTGAACAAGTAGATATTAAAAAAGGTTGTACCTACGCAAGATCGTCAGATATTTATTTATCAATGCCAAGATGGTTTTGTAAAGGGCCAGATAGCTAGCATGCACTCCTACATCTTTTTGTTTTGGTTTTTTTAAACATGAGTGACCATTTTACATTTTTGCAAGAATGTTCGAGTTCTTGTACACCAGCATTTTTGCCAGTGTCGTGTAAGGAAATGATTTGTTCTTGTGCATTATAAATAGTAAGCTTGCAGGAAGTGATAGAGAATTATAAAACAAGATAATTAAGTAAATATCTGGCGGTCTAAAAGTCCACCGGTTTCAAGGAAAACGTATTCGAAAGTACAGTCCGGTCCTGGTAGANAAATACAGAATAAATATCTTTTTAAACCGAATAATAAAAAAAAACTCTAGTCGTAAGAGTTCTTTCCAAGGGATGGAATGCCGGGGAATGCTCCACTCAATGCCCTAAAATCTGCTTGAGAATTTACAAAAAGACATAGGGGCCAATATCGGTCTTTAGTTTGGTATTTACTGAACTCTCGTAGGTAGCATCACCAAGAAATTGGACTTCAGAACTAAATTTCGAAATTTGGGGACGCTTTTCGTTTTTGTCGGATAATATTTGCAACGAGTTGTTCGGTGGTTTCGAACGAATGAAAATTTAGTTTACTTAAAATAGTAAAAAACAAAAATTCGGTCAGATCCATCATCAACGAAGATAGGCTTGATGTCTTAATGATGCATCTATGATAAAAAGCGTACTACAATTGGTTAGTCAATTTCCCCCTCCACCCAAACCATGATACATTGCTAGGCTAGGGTTGCCAACCGTCCGGGATTCCCCGGATTCGTCCTAGTTTGAAGGGCGTCCAGGGGCCGTCCGGCAGGGGTTATTAAAAAGGGTCCGGGTGTAACCCAGACACTTTTGTTGTCAGGGGAAATCCAATCTTTTTTATAGATAAGCGATGAATTCATTGACAATGCGAACGTAGAGAGTGTTTTTACTAGTCACGCAACAATAGATAAAAGAAAGAAACTCCCTAAACATACACACGGTTTCTCCTCTGATCAAAATCAAGTATAATTTCAAGGACCAGAGTTGTTCCGACTTTTACAAATTCTTGTTGGAAAAGAAAGATATTTTAGCGAAAATGAGGAAGACTGAAAAATAGCAAAAGCGTGCAATTTTTAACTGCTTTGTACTACAATGATGTGTAAAAGTTTTAGGTTATTTAATCACAGAAATGTAGTATGATTTAAACAAAAGTAATACAATGAAAAATCTAAATAAGTATTACAAAGAAAAACGTTAATCGAAGATTTTAGTACCAAGATATAACACACCAGATCCCACAACACCACCAAGTGCTAGTCCGACTGCTGTTCCTACACCAGGAACCATGCTTCCAACTACAGCCCCTATTGCACCTCCGACAACCGCTCCACCAGCTAAAAGTACTCCATGCTTTTTCTCGTGTGGTCTATCAAGTAGTTCATTTCTATCTATTACCTCACTTCCTGTCGCCGAAACGATTTGCTTGCCCGCATGAGTTAGAACCACTCTACCAACCGAACTCAAAACACCACCACCAAAATTACTAGTTTGTTGATATCCGTATGGATCGTTTTCTCCGTAGTACTGAGGTTCTCTTTTATTTCTCCTTAAATCCGTTTGAGAGGCAGTAGATTCGATTTTTTCTACGTTCTTACCTGGTTGCTGCAATCCATAATAACGAAGGACAGCAGCATTTGCCGATGGCATTACACTGTTGACTATCGTACTTACTCCTAGTAATCCTAAAAGTTTGTATCATTTCAATAGGACACTTTTAGACTATTTGAGAGCAACCAGATTTTACCTATTAAGAAAAAAGTAACCACCATCACAATCCACCCGACATTCCTTTTTTCATTCTTCATCGTACCACAAAAGTTCTATAAACAAAATAATGTTGAATTCTGTCAGATCCTTGATGATAGATATATAGTTTTTGATCAGACAGTATATGATCCAAAGAAAACTGTGAAGACGAAATCTTTTTATTTTGCAACGTTTCGTGCTTTATAACCTCTTCATCAAGCGCTTATAAAATAAATGTCCTTGACATAATCCGGAAAAATCATGTATCTTTTTCGTATCTCATTTCGTCTTAACAGTTTCCTGTGGATCCTATAACATCTGATAAAAACCTATAAATTAAATAATGGTTACATTAAAACAAGTAAAAATAAAAATGCGAGTTCGTAGTTATAAGTCAATATTTCTTTCTTTTTATCCAAGAGTTGAGCCAAAATTCACTTCAATGGTAAGAATATTTGGTGTTCAAAATTTTTTATTTTATCATCCATTAAATTACAATAATCATTCTTAACGACAATCGAAGTGGAAATTGGTTGACAAAATAATAAATTATGGTATCATCATTATAAGGTCGTCAGTCCTAAGACTGGTTGGACACGCACCTCCACTCTTTCCTATCCTGAGCCCTCTGTTCTCCTATTCTCTCTAACCTTCTCTATCCGCGGTATCCTCATCATTCGCCTGTAACACCACATTTCGAACTCTTTTAACGTTTTCCTTTCCGCCGCTCTCACTGCCCTTGTTTCGCACCCGTACAACGCCGTGTTCCAAACATACACCTTTAACAATCTTTTTAGAATTTCTAAATTAACCGTTCGCGATCATATATAACTTCTTTTTATTGAAGTCGACTCGACCCTGCGCTATATTATGCTTTATATCCCTACTACTCCTTCCGTCCTGACTTATCTGACTTCCTAGATACCTAAAATCGGCCGCTTTTTCTAATTTTTCGTCTTCTATCTTTATATTCGCTCTTACATACTGCATACTAATTTTTTGCCCCTGTATATCTATCCCTACAGTTGTACTGTCATGATTCAATGAAACGTTTTTCATTTCCATTATTATTTCTTTTTCCAGTGGGTTTTAGAGATTAAGGAGTCGATTCCTATTTTAGTATCTTGATAAGAATATGAAATAGTTTTGAAGAAGTTGGGATTAAATGTCGATGCTTTTTAATGAGAAGCATTGAAATTATATCAAAAGAAAATGCATTCAATATTAGACAAGTTTGACGCCCTAGTCTGGATTCGAAAATGGTTTAATTGAAACATTCCTGAGCTCATCTCGAACAACGTTAAAGTGATTTTTCATCTTTGGAGGAAATAGTCCTTGACTTCTCTATAGATATACTAATAAGGAACGATTTTTTGAAAATGGATAAAAGCGGTAAGATTTCTACGGAGAAATCCAAACTAGTGTGCCTAGATATTCAAAATTTGGAGAAAGTATTTCTTGAATCGAAATTTCAAATCTCTAAATACACCAACTTATGTGCGTTGTCTCTTGCTCAGTCCACTCACAACATTTCACAAGGCAATCATAAAATTTAAACATAAATACTTACAATTTTGTTAGTACCTACTCGTATCAACAAATTATAAACTTTGCTGTTATCGGTATAACATGTAACAATTATATTCGGTGTAATAATTACTAACTGAAATAAGGTTCATTTCTTATACGTTGTACTATATATTACTTTAAACGTCCCCTCCATCATCAACAAGTTCTTTTGATATAAAAATTAGATGTTCTTCGAATCCACTGTCGACAATTTTTGTTATTTCGTAGAGTTAACATTATCGTAAAACTCCAACATAAATTAAACAATAATAAGAAATATTGTGTTATACTTTTCAATATGTCAAAGTCTACTTTTAATCGCATTTTCTCGTTCTGATAACCGCAAGATTAACCCCCTAACTAAAAACGTCGCGTCGGTTAATCTGACAATCAGCGAAAACTATGCTTTCTGTAAGCTGTCATCCAATGCGTAAAAATATAAAAATATCAATTTATCGGTGAAAGGTTCCATTGTTTTCTCAACGTGAATTCAAAAGGCTACCTCAAAAAAAAAACAATAACCAGTTAAAAATGTCACTTAAAATACTTTAGTCAAGAAAAATTGAAGGTATGGAGAACAAAATAACAACTGAAAGTTTTTAAACCCTGAACCACAACAATTGAATTCACAATTGCTAATGTATTGACAATGATAGGGGAAAGAAAGAAAAGTGGCTGATTTTAGGTATCTAAGAAGTCAGGATGGAAGGAGTAGTAGGGATTGATCAGAGGATAGCGCAGGGTCGAGTCGCCCTCAATAAAAGAAAGTCACTTCTATGCTCGCGGACGATCAATTTATAAATTCGAAAAAGATTGTTAAGGAAAGGTCAGAACCATTCGAAATGTGGTGTTATAGGCGAATGATGATGATACCGTGGATAGAGAAGGTAAGAAATGAAGAGGTATTAGAAAGAATAGGAGAACAGAGGACTATGGAAGTCAATAAGAAATAGGCGAAATAGATTGATAGGACACCTTCTCAGGCATGAAGGTCTAGTCAGAGACATGTTAGAGGCAGAAATAGGAGTTAAGAGGAGTAGAGGTAGACCTAGATTGAATTACTATTCTCAAATAGTCAAGGATGTGGAATGTTCTAGTATTAGAGTAATACGAAGATTAACTCAGGATAGGAAGGAGTGGAGGTGCGTCTATAACCAGTCTTACAACTGACTATCTAATGTATTGGTTAGTGAAATTAATCTTTGTGAGGTAAATTTTGTTTTATTCTTTCATTTCAAATATTAGTCTTCTGTTCAGGGTAGTCAGCCCTTCATTAATTCAGTAATTTATCCACCTCCTTAACGGAAGTATTTCCTTAAACTTTATCTTTTTGAGCTAGATTTTTACAGACATGACCCTCGACATCGTTTCTATTTTTTTTTCTGCTTTGACAGAATTTAATTATCAATTTTATCTATTTAAAAGTATGCATTCACAATTTTTCTTGCTTTTATCACAAACACAGCATCTTCGTTTTTTATTTTCGTTGGTATTTTTAGACGTAATCTCTCCTTCATTAAATAATACAACACAAAAATTAAAAGATTTGACATTAACCCTAACAACGCGAAAGACGCTTAGGTACGTATCGTTCCACTGATAATTTTTTAAGGAGAACAATAACATATTTTTACAACTCTTTTTGAAAAGTTATGAATTCTTAACTAGATTAAATAGATATTATTTTAATGGTGCTGGACAGTGAGACGATCACTATCTAAGTTTCTTAAATTTGGCGTCCTTATCAAGTTCTCTTTAATTATTGTATGTTAAAAAAAAATATGATCAATGTATTTCAATAATATTACTTACCTAATAGGGCAAAACAATTAGATCGAGGCCACACGCTGAATTTAACTCGCAACTAGTATCATCATCATCATAAGGTCTTCAGCCCGGAAATCCGTTGGACACATACCTCCAGGTCTTCCTATCATAAGCAAATCTTTGTATTTCTGAAAAACTTGAGTAACCCAGATCTTTATCCATTTGCGAACAGTGATCTAATCTAGATCAGCCTATTGGGATCCGTCAAATAGGAGGAGCCTAAAAACATGGCTCCGATTAGGGAAAATCACGATAAAATGATAAGTATTGACACAATATGTGATTGGGCTGACACAAAGCCTCGGAAAGGAAATTTCGTTGAAGCTGAGCGTGTTTTTAATGCCAATCACATTATAAAATTCGGAAATAACAAATCCGGAAGCTAGCCTTCAAATTCCGTCAAGTTTA